AAAATGGAGCCCGAGGAAAATAAATAGACTGCAAGTGTGTTGTTGGTCATACAAGGAGTGCTGCTGCCACTGCAAAATGCTTTGTTTCTTTTAAGAATTAATTAAAAATCTGAGTTTGGAAGTTGCTGTAGAGGGAAAAAAAAAGATATTTGGCACCATCTCAACAGCACAAGTGCACTCACATATGAATCACTCCAGAATGAAGAGACTGTTCTGCTCCTACCACAGCTGAAAAGCTGGATGGCAGAGACAGGGGCTGGCAGGGCTGGGGATGAATCCCCAGCTCCAGGTTTGTCCCACTGGCAGGGGCTGATCCTTCCCTTCCAGGGAAGCACACACCAGCCACCAGAATTGTGAAACTTTCTGATCAATGGTCAGCCCCTCAAAGCAGGACCAAATCTGCATTTTATCTCTGTTCTCCTGCCCCTGCACCGGGGAAAAGGGGAGGGATTCCAGCAGGATTTCCTCAATGCTCCAGGATTTCTGACCCCAGCCTGAACCCAAAAAACACCTTCCACCATCCCAGGTGATTCCAAGCTCTGTCCACCCTGGCCTTGGACACTTCCAGGGATCCAGGGGCAGCCACAGCTCCCCTGGAAAACCTGTGCCAGGGCCCCAGCACCCTCACAGGGAGGAATTTCTTCCCTACAGAATGACCTCAGCCATTCCTGCTGGAATCTCCCACACCCTGACCAGATCCTGTCTGAGGTCTGGTGCCATAGATCAGGACTTGTGCTCCTGGTGAGGCTTTATTTCTTGATTTTCACTTACAACAAACTTATTTTAAAAATCGAGAAATTATGTTTTTCTGGATAACTGGGTGATCCTGCCAACTGTGTTTGCCCTCTACACCACATCTGCTGTTTATTTTGTAACTCTGCAACTTGTACTATGTACTATAAGTGTACATGTTACACTTTTATTACTTCAGAATTATTTGAACTTACTGATATCTAAGCTCTGTTTATTTCTAAAAATACATTTCAGCTCCTCATCTGAAGCATTAATCAATATTTTGGCCAGCTCAGGATGCATTTCTCAATCCTGGTGAGCCGAAATTTGGATTAACACCTGGATAGCAGCTCTCCAGCCCAAACTATCCCAAATTTTGCCCTGACAAAGTGGAGACATTTCTGCCCTGCCAGCCCAGCCCCAGCTGAGGTGTGTGCTCATGCCCAGTCATTGTCCCAGGAGATTACAGCTAAATCCCTGCTAGGATGAATTTCAACTCTGCCTGCTGGATTTGCAGAGATTAACTGCAAAGCACCTTAGCTCTTGCTCTGAGCTGGAGTTGCATGAGTGCAGAGTTTAAAATTCCAAAGGGCCACTGAAACTGGACAACCTGACCACTTAATCACCTTCCACTGCAAACTGACATAAGCCAATTAACTTTATAGGCAAAAAGAGTCTAAGCTGGTGTAAAAAGAGGCTGTGAGAGCTGCTGTCTTCTAAAATCCACATCACCTGCAGCCAGGAAATATCTACAAGTGGTATTTATTTCCTCACTTTAGATATCACATCTCAATTTCCCCTTCTGCCTCTGAGAAAAAACAGTAACACAACAAAGTCAGAAATTGAGGTTTTTTCCTACAGGCCTGGAGGATCCAGCATCACCACATTTAACCCTGGTACACAGGGGTTGCTTTTTGGGAGAACTTTCTTTATGAGCACTTTATTTTGATGATTTCAATCCCAGGAGCTTTTAGTCAAAGGGAAGATCTCAGTGGGAACTGGTCTGGGAGCTGTGGAATAACAGCACAAAGAAAAAGGGAGCTACCAAAAGAAAGAAGTGACAAATAAATGCAACAGGTTTGAACACTTGGTTTCCCTGGGTAACTGAGGGGGGAGAAAAGTTAAAGCAGCCAAGGCAGGAACCCAAACTTCCTGGGGGAAAGGGCAGAATTTCTAATAAAATCCCTGTTTGTCCTGCAGCTATAAAACAAAAGCAGGCTCTATTTAACATGCAAGGCACAGCCTGGCACTCAAAGCACCTTCCAGCAACGTGCCTGAGTGTGGCAACTTTGCAGCATTTGGAGAAGTGTTCAGTTAGGAAGGAACCAAGGGCACAGTGAATTTGGGGAACAGAGGTGACAATGTCACTGAATCAGCCTGGTGCTGCTTCTATGACCATACCTAATTTACAGTTTCTGTCATTTTTGACATAAAAGTATTGCACAGCCACAGTTCTGTTGCTCCAACAGGACCTGTGAAGATCTGATTTGTGGAATTAGAGTCACACTCTATTAAGGAAAGCTGGCACACAGACCAAAACTAAGCTGGTAGGCTACACTGGATGCCAACTGGGAATGGCAAACAATCCTAATTTCAGTTTACTTACAGAAATGCAAACTTTAAAATAAGATAAACAACCCTTAATCCATAACTACAAACTGAGCAGTTGCTACTTAAAAATAAATACTTAGTTGCATATTAACTATTCCAGGTGGAGACAAAATTCAAGCTAATTTTAGTATCCTTTCCTTCTATGTTGTAAAACTAAAGATCATTGGTTGTGGTCCTCAGGTCTGAGCACCATTCAACCAGATCTCACCACCACATGATTTTAAAGCATTCATCCACCATCTCTCAATCCTCAGGACTAGAAATGCACTTTTTTCCAGCAGTTTTCTTAGAATCACTCAGCTTTTCTCAGCATGAGGCCACTGAGTTTTGTCCCCAGACCTGGCTGCTGGAATCAGGAGATGTTTGAGTCCCAGCACTTGCACAAACCCACAGTTGCAGGAACAAATTTCCATGTGCTGGTCCCTGTTCTGCAGGGCACTTTCTTACCATGAATGAAGCTGTCCATCCTTCTCTTTGAAGGGCAGGGAACTTCCAGTCACTTCATATTTACTATGAAGAAATAGGATTTTAAGAGACTCAACTACACTGTGGTAACCACCAGGGAACTGATGTTTGCAATTACCCAACAAACCAAGCATCCCTCAAGCACTCCAAAACAAGGCAAACACATCATTTTTTAAACTTTTTTTTTTAAACCAGGGCTTTGCATTTGCTAAAGACATCCTCTGGTTTTAGTCACTTCATTTCTTGAGACCAGCGAGTTTTGCTACTCTTGAGTTTGGCAATGTAGTTCCTGCACTTATTTAGGCCAGAGCTGCTAAAATGTAGCACATATTTGTAATGAAGTTTCCAGTGGCTCTGCCCTCTGTAGCTCACCCCACTGTACCTCTGGTTACTTATGCAGGCTTTACCTGCTGCTCATTTATTAACCCACACATTCTTCCACACATTTCCTTCCTCCACCTCCTGTTTTCCCTGCCTTATCCGAACATTTTCTGATTTTACAGCCAATTCTGTGCCAGCATTTGGAATTCAGGTGGACAAAATGCTCCAAGGCAAATTCCTTCCGGCAAGGGCAGCCCTTGGGACCCGCAGCTGCAGCTCTGGCAGAGAGCTCAGCCCTGCACGTACGTGAGTGACTGCACGATCCAGGGGAGGATCCCAGACATTCCCGGCCCTCCACGCTTCCCAAAACACCTCATCAGACCCCAGCACGGCTCTACCCCAGGCCTCTGCTGCTGGGATGGAGCTGAAGTGTGAATGATGGAGAAGTCGGTGCCTGGAATGCTGCCACATCCCATCAAGCTCCGGGTGCACATCCAAAAACCTGTACAAACTCACATTTCATCCTAGGGAACGACTTTCCCACTCTGCTTATTGACAGTGATCCACAGGGATCCTGTCTGTGTGTGCACTCAGGCAGGAATGCTGCATATTCCAACTCCAACCCCTGCCCAGAACAAATAAATAAACAAACCAGTGCCTGCTGCTTCTCCATCAGGGAAGGCTGCTCTGTTCATCACTTCCAGAGGTGCACACAGCATCCAGGGATGCTGGGCTATGGAATCAAAGTTGAGCAGCTGCCACACATCACAAAAGACAAATTGCAACATGGCTTTAAGAGAATCCAAACCAGTTCTTTGCTTCTTTATGCCCTAAAAGGGCAGCAATCCCAAATTATTATTTTTTTTCCTAAGAAGTCAGATATTCACAGGCAATGAGGCACCTGGGAATTTGAAATGAGGTTAAGCAGCACCCTCAGCCCCTCTCTCCTTTGTAACGAGAAAGAATGTTTGCTGCTGCTGAGAAGGGGATAATTTTCATTTTGAAAAGAGTAAATGTAGGGGAAATGCTCCCTTTGCAAACCGAGCTTCAGCACATCACATTCCCTGCTGGGCTTCCCTTGGGCCACCGAGTGACAGGAGCAGGACGAAGGCACGGAGGAGTCCCCCGGCAGTGAGATGGATTCCAGCGCTGTGGAAGGGAACGCTGCTCCCTCCCAACACCTCCCCGCCTGCACGCCGTGCCGCTGCTTTGTGTTTTAGCTGGAAAACCCAACAGCCAGAAGGAAGAAAAATTAGAGCAAAGTCGCGTTTGCTTCCATACCTCCGCCCTGGCCAATGTCCACTTGCTCCCGCAGGCAAGGAGAGGCTGCCGGGGCGGTTTTGCCGCCTGGACAGCGAGCTGTCCCACGCCAGCCCCGCCAGCTCATGTGTCACTCCCCGCGTTATTTCCACGCCGCGGACACGCCGAGTGCCAGCGATTTCCGCCGGAGCTGAGCGGCCGCGCTGCGGGCAGGAGGGCGGGGAGCGCATCCCGGAGCCCATCCCAGAGCCTCCGGAGCGCATCCCGGAGCCCCCGGAGCACATCCCGGAGCCCCCGGAGCACATCCCAGAGCCTCCGGAGCGCATCCTGGAGCCTCCAGAGTGCATCCCAGAGCGCATCCCGGAACCCCAGAGCGCATCCCGGAGCCCCAGAGCACATCCCGGAGCGCATCCCGAAGCCCCGGAGCGCATCCCGGAGCCTCCGGAACGCATCCTAGAGCGCACCCCAGAGCCCCCAGAGCGCATCCCGGAGCCCCGGAGCGCACCCCGGAGCTCCGGAGCGCATCCCGGCCCGCATCCTGGAGCCTCTGCAGCCCCCAGAGCGCATCCCGGAGCCCATCCCGGAGCCCCAGAGCCCATCCCGGTTCCTACCCCGTTAGCGGCGGCGATGCGGACGATGAGCTGGATGGCGTCTCTCATGTAGAAGCGGCCGTCGCCTCCCACGACGAGCGTGGCGTCCTGGCGCTCGGCGGGCGGCACGGTGGCCAGAATGCTCTGGATGAAGTTCTCGGTGTAGTTGGCATTGCTCTGGAACACCGTCACCCGTTTGCGCAGCCCGCTGGTGCCCGGCTTCTGGTCGCCGTAGGGCTTGGTCTGCACGGTCACGATCCGCACCATGGCCGGCGCCGGGAGAGTTCCGGGAGCCGGGGGGGACCGAGGCCGGCCCGGCCCCGCCGCCGCCACCGCCCCGCGACCGCCCCTTAAAGGCACCGGCCGCGCTCCCTGCCGGGCACGAACCAGCCCAGAGGCGACAGCATCCGTGTGCTCTCCTGTCCTGTCCTTTCCTCCCGATGCTGCCCTGCCGCAGCCCCGAGCATCTCCGTGTCCTGGTGCTCTGCTCGATCCTAGTCAGTGCCATGAAATCATGGCATGGTTTACGTTTAGGAAAGAGATTTTCAACTCGAACCGCTCCCCTTCAGTGCCAAGGTTACCATTTAACCCAAGTCCCCAAGTTCCACATCCACACGGATTTTAAATCCGTGCAGGGATGGGGACTCCACCACTGCCCTGGGCAGCTGTGCCAGGACTGAACACTTCCCATCAAGTGAAAAAATTTTCATCAAAAAATTTTCTCTGAGATCCAATCTAAACCTTCTCTGGCACAACTTGAAGCCCTTTTTCCTCACCCTGGCCCTGTCCTCTGGGAGCAGAGCCCGACTCTCCCGGCTGTCCCCTCCTGTCAGGGAGTTGTGCAGAGCCACAAGGTGCCCCCTGAGCCTCCTTTTCTCCAGGTGACCCCCCCCGAGCTGGCCCAGGTGCTCCAGACCCTGCCTGTCCCTGTTGTCACCAGCAGGATGTCCCCAAAGGCCTTCCAGACAGGCCCTGGCCTCAAGTGACCACCCCAGAGAAGCAGGAGCCCCTCAGAAGCAGGGGCAGGTAAGGTCAGCATTAGCAAAGCCCTGAAAAAGCTGAATTTTGTTATAGCTCTAGTTCTCATAAGAAAAGTAACATCCCAGAAATTCAAATTACCTGTTACAGCTAATTTCTGTTAAATGTCTCCCCTCAAAGAAAATAAGCTGGTACATGAGTTCAACCTTTAAAAGAGAAGCTGGGATTTTTCTGTCTTGGTGGAACCTGGAAAAAGACTCTGGAGATACAACCAAGATCTCTAATCTCACCTCCTTCAGGGCAGGGAAAGTAGAACCTGCCATGGAGAGTTTGCCTATGTCCCCACTTAAAAAACTGGGTAATTAAACCTTTTCTAGCAGCAGGAGGATCAGAAAATAAATGAGGTTCCCTGTGTGGTGCTGTGCCATGTTCTTTACCTGCAGCAAACCCAACTCTTTCCACGTGCAGTGATTTCTCAGCTAAGCCCTTCTCTCAGCTTTAACCCTAAAATGCAGAGAGAGTTGCATATGAATTCCTGCCCCATCTAAAAAGGCTGATTTTACAAACAAAAGAAATGTAAATAATGCTCACTTTGTAGTATCTATTCCAAACGGTGTCTCGTTATTTCCCAACTCCTTTTTAGACAAGGAGCTGGGAATTTCTGTTTTACCCACACCTTGCCTGAGGCAGCATTTCCAGAGCTCAGTCAGAGCTAAAAATCACCAAATATTTTTGGGGCCTCAACTTCTTTTAGACAGTTCTGAAAATGGAAACTGTGGTACTTGCTAAGAAAAAAAACATGGAAAACTCAAAGTTTACCAGGAATCCTGCCTGAGTGTGTAAATCAGAGCCCAGCTCTCATTTTGTCACTGACATTTACTTGCCCAGTGTAAGATTACAGCAGAGTAACAGCAGAGAGCAGGAGCTGGGGCAGATAAAAATAACTTTGTAACATTACTTGCTGCCCTCACCTATGAGGTCACACACATTAAATGGCTATTTTAAACTCACTTTTTAAGCATCCAGTGGCCAGGGTCATAATTTTTTTCCACATTAACAGATATTTAGAGGAACCAGAAAAATATAATAAGCTGAATGTTTTTAGTACCTCAAAGATGAATTTCATTGTTGTTGCAGTCTAAACTTGGCACACTTCAGTCTTCTTATTTCAGCTACCCTGGGAATAATGAATTGCTGTTAACAGTCAAGAGCCCAAGACAAACCTTCATTTTTCTCAAATGATGTTATTTCCTAATTGCATATAAAAGACAGACTTTATTTTATACAACAGATTATAAAATCAGGCAGAAATTACAGACCAAGAGTAAGATGAGGATTATCAGCAAATGACACAAAGAAAGGGAAAGAAACAAATCCTTTATCAAATGACAAAATAAAATAAACCTCATCCCTTTATACTTGTCACATCAGAACCACAGGAATGTTTAATTAGGAACCCATTCAACAAAGTTTTCCTCAGTGAAGCAGTTCCAGCCTGTGATGGAATTACAATCCATGGTATAGAAAATAAGAGCATATTTAGGGAAACAATCCTTTCTAAACCACCAATTTTTATTGTGCCTCAGTGTTTTCATGCCCAAATCACCAAGAAATATAAATGTATGCCAACTTTTTGAGAAAGACAAGACTATAAATAGTCTAAAAGCTGCCCAAAGCTAATCCTGGGTGAGTGTGGCTGCTCCCAGCCCTGGCACTGGGAGGTTTAACATACAAGGGAGTGCACACAGCTGTAAATCCACTCTTCCTGCTCATTCAGGGCCATCACATGCTGAGAAACCTGGCACAAGAGAAAGCAGAGGTGAAAAAGAGTTTTCTTCATTGGAGAACTGCTACCCAATGTGCTGTGTAAGCAAAATGTTCAGTACTTGTGTCATTAAATGATGAATATTCATTATCTATACTGACAGATATTCAAAAATTACTCTTGAATTTAACAGCAAAATATCCATAAAGACTGAGCCTGCAGTTTATATTGAATGAAGCCTAAATTCAAATTAAAAAGCACCTTACAGGATGAGGCAATGGATATCTAAAGTGTCAGCAGCAATTTAAATAGGCCCCAGCCCTGCCTGTGTCATGGGACTGCTCTGTTTACAACAGGCTTGAATGAATCCACCCTGGAAAGCTGGGAAATATAAAATAGCTTGAATGTCTCTGCTTTTGAACACAGAGGGTGTACTTTTAGAAAAATTAAAATGGGGGTTATTCATAAAGAAATGAAAAAAAAAAAAATCTGCATTTTGTAATGTATTTTCCATCACATTCCATCCCTCAGAACCCTCATTTGGAATTGTCACTAAAACCTGCCCAGCCCTGCAGCAGGGCTCAGCAATCAAATTGTCTCATGGTTAACATGATCCCTAAATGAGATTTAACAAAAGTTAACCACCAGCACATCACAGTGTGCACAAGGACTGCAATACATTTATTTCCCTTTCTGATCAGTGCATGCTTGGTCTGTTCTCACAGGTATCAATACGTGAGATTAAAAACTGCTAAGTGAAAAAAAAATTAAATATAGCCTTAGAAAAAAGAGTATTAAATGTATTAGTGAATGGTGCAGGTATAGAATGGACAAGTGAAACAGGCCCATGTATGAAAAACTGGATTATGGATTTTTACAGCAAACTGCACAGGAAAACAGGGATGCATCAAGTACATGATCAGCTTTGAAATATCCAAAAATTCATCTGATCTGTTGTGGTCAGAAGATGCCACTGCCCACATGGCTCATTACCATGAGAAAAGCCCTACAAAAAAGAAAATATAAAGCTGTCACCTGATTTTTCTCTAAAGTTGGCTAAGCAATAAAAAATCCTTACCATCATGGATTTTGGAGCCACTTCTACAGCAAAAACCATCAGTCCTCTGTTGTTTAGGCAGTTCTTACTCTGCTCATTGTTGACATGAATTATCACTTTGTTTTCAGACTGCAGGTGAAGAAACATGAAGGAACCATTAAGATTTTACTGGTTAAGTGTCTGTTCCTGGTGTAACAAGGGCACACTCCTTGGACTTCCTGTGACCTTGCTGTTTTAGGGATGGAAATGTTTTATGGATACTCTGAAGAGTAACAGATATTGTTTGAAGAGTAACAGATACACTTTGAGGAGGAACAGTTTCAAATGTACCTTAGCACCACAGTCATGGTCAAAAGAAATTTAATTTGCTTTTTTTTAAAATTAGGCTTAGAATTGAACGACAGTATTTTTTGTTTAGACTTAAATATTTCTTCATTTTTATTTATATTACAATGTTTTACAGTACTTTAAGCTAACAAGCTAAAAATAAAGATGTATTTCTTTCTTTACAAAGTTTTTTAAAGTTAAATAGTTTAATTAAGAACAAACACTTAAATTATTTTTAAACTCGATAACTAATAACTTGTAACTTGCCATGCAGGTTTTTTTATTTAATTACAAAATATCACCTAAATTCACAAAGAAAAAAGTAAAGAAAAAGGATAAAACCTCCACCCTAAAACCTTCATATTATTATATTCTAAAACTTTAAATTTTAAGTTTTCCACTATGTAATATTACACACTTCTATTCAAACTCCATATTTATAACTTTAGTTTTATTATTTAATTTTGGAAGCTTTCTTCACAACTTCAAGTCAAATAAAGTGTTCTCTTGAAGATTAGTGTTTGTTAGCACAGAAAGTTTAAAATTCTCATTTTCCAGGGTTCCAACATTGGCTTTGTTGTATTTTCACAGCTTGTCCAGATCCCCCCCATGGAGCTTCCCCAGCATTCCCACCCAGCTTGGTGAGATCTACAAAAACCAAACCCAAGTGACATGAACAGAGTGGGCAGAGATTTGGAGCAGAGAACCTCCAGTTGTCTCAGTGCAGCCCTGCTCTCCTCCTCTGACATATTCCCAAATATATAAATAACTCTGCAATATCCACCCTAAAGGGCGAAGTGCAAAGCCAAATCCAGACTTCCAGGAGCCTCAGCATCCAGTCCTAATTTAGTTCCCCAAATCCCCAACCCCTTGTGCATGGCTGGACATTTAAAAATACATTTCTTGCTGTGATCTTTTAAGATTTAAAGCATCTGAAGTTCAACATCTTACTGTGCTGTGTTTATTTATTCACAGTTCCTGGTATAAAGGAAACTGAGAATATTCATTGTGATCTGTGGAAAAAGGTTTAAAATCTCACCAACCACTTGTACTTGGATTTGCAACTTTCAGCTTGAATTACTAATAAAGCACAGCTGGAAGAATAATCAGGTAAAAATTCATCCTTAACAAACTCCTAAAATTCACTGCTCTTTGACTTCCTAATGGACACTGAAAATATTCTGTAGTGTAAATGCTCTTGCTCCAATTGCATTTCCTGCTGTTAGTGTTTGTTTCCTCATATGATG